TTGTGTTAAGGGAGTACTTGAGTCAAGGCCCAATATCCATCTGCAACCTGAATTCTTAACATATAGATATGAGTTTTTAGTGCTCTTCCGCTCTCATTATATATATATTTACATATGTACATGTCTATATTTAGGCCTCCATAAATGTCTTTTGCCTCCTGGTTCCTTGCTCTATTTCCCATGAGGTTTTCTTGGATGTAATCTTCAGGAGTTGACCTTTAGGTAGTTCTCTCCTAGAGCCACCAGGTGGGTTCAAAGGCCTACCTTTCCCTTAGCAGCTCAGCATCTCTATTGTGCTGCCTGGCTCCTCAGGCACTTTGCATGAGGCTTAGAAATCTAATTGTCAGTAAGGACTATTAACATTAGAGTGATAGGGAAACAAGACTCTGGCCAATTAATTTCAAAATTAGGGTTACAAATCTTAGTCAAACCCTTAGCTCAGACATTCCAAAACCATAAGGCATTAACAATGTTGAGGCAAAGTTGACTCATAATAAATAATACATGTGCCTTGTTTGTCATCATCAGAAAAGAACCCCGGCTAGTTTGTGAAACTGTTTGCCGGCTAATTGGTTGCTAATAGAAACCTGTATTGAAATCGATTACTTGAATGTACACTTTGCTTGAATTATATGTGAGTGGACTTCAGAAAGCTTGTAGAATAATTCTATAATCCTTCTATTCCAATTTTCCACAAACCTTGGAAGCCCTCTCGTATAAATGGTCTAAAGTCTTGTTTGGCGGGAAAGCATCAGAACTCTTGGCACGTCCTGATTTAGCGCTCTAATGAATTCATTTCCTCAAAGCAAGACAAATGTAAAAGTGTGTTCTTCCCTCACTACGTACCAAGCTTGCCTGGCCAATGCCGGAAAATCATTGATGGAATGAGAGTTCATCCAAGAACTGACGAGAAGACCAAAGCAGATGTGTCGTCCTGGGGTTACGACGGGGTAAGTGGGAAAGAAGGAGCGCATAACAACCAGTACAGAAATGAAGAGAATGTTCTACGGTTGATTGTGCTGATAATTGCACAGCTCTTACGTGTATTTAAATCATTGAATTATACGGTATGTGAATTATATGTCAATAAAACTTTTTTTTAAAAGCAGCTGTTCTAACAACCTGGTAGTGTGTGCACTACTAGTTCCGACGGGTTCTTTTTGAGATTTGGGCAGAACTGGAAGGCTTTTAATTACTCCCGTGCAATTCATCTGCCATTTTAAGCCAATGATTGATTCTCCTGAAGTGATTATGCAAGGGAGGCATGTAAAGTCAGTGACCCGATCTTCAAGCAGCTGGACATTTCTGGCATTGGCTGCAGCATTGAACGTGGTTAGTGGAAGAGTAGTCATTGGTCTCTGTGTCCACCCCCAGTCCCTCACTCCCAAGGTGCTGTTAGCTCCCTAAGAAAGGCAAAAGCCTTTGAAATAGATAGTATAGTTCTCTTTAAGAAGAGCTCATTAGTGGAACAGACCATAAATGTTATTATAAACATTTATAACAACATAACTTATGAAAAAAAACCAAAGTTGTGATTTGCTTCTAGGCTCTATGTCTAATTATCACTTTGACACTCATCCTTCCACCAAGATCTTTTTTCTTCTAGGACCTTATCGGGATTCTTAGGTCTAGTTGAAAAACATTTTTTTTAAGTTAGAGATATGTGAGAATATGATATTAGAATGCATTCTTAATTTTTATATAATAGTTATACATCTGTTATAGATATAATTTTTTATTAAATTTTACTGCAAATTCCATTGTTTATAAAACGGGCAGTGGATAGAAAATAACGATTCAAGGAGCATCAGCACCACATGCGCTGCCTGACTTCAGAAGAACTTTGTTGCTATTGAAACTCACCGAATAACTTCTATTTCATGTTTATAATTCCCTTGATTTTCTTTATAATCTTCACCTCATGTATTTTTAACCTTGCCAGTATTTTGTTTGATTTTGTACAGCAGATGGTAAAAAGGAGTAATGGGCTTATTTTTTTTGCTATTGTTGAGTGAGGTGGAGTGGGGGGCACACTTCCTATTAGATTCACTCACTCAGATCCACCCAGGTTTTATCTCTGGCCCTCCCAGACGCTGTCAGTCCATGATATGTCCACCTCTTAGGGTTATCTCCTACTTTTACCTTATTTTTGTCATTATTATGTTTGCATCTTATTAAATTCAGCAGCACCTCTGAAGGAGAAAGATGAGGCTGTCTGCTCCTGTAAAGACTTATAGCCCTAGAAACCCTATAATGGGTGACTATGAGTTAGAATCAACTTGATGGCCATGGGTATTAGTGCTTACTTGCTTACACCTTCATCCGTGTACTTGAAAATATTTTATCTTTTATATTTTATCTATCATTTTTAGCTGTTATCTGAATGGCTAGCTCTCTAGTTATGGGATGCCTTATATTCTAGTTTGCAACTTAAAAATATTCATATAGTTCCCTGCTCTCTTTCCATGTGTGTACAGGTATATGGTCCTGGAAGAAATTAATTTTGATTGCCTGCCAGTTACATTTTTTACTTCATTTTTTTCCTTTTCCTTTTGGCATCTCCTTTTTGAATGACTGGATAGTAATTTGGCAAATTGTATGTAAACAACTGATTACGTTATTTGACTTGTTGGAGATTGTGCTTCTCATGGGGATGCACCTGGTTATGAAGTAATATAAATACATTTAAGAATTAAATTATAGGACATGTAGAGTTTGTGAGTGTGTTTATGTGTATGTATATTTATATATATATATGTATTTTCTACTAGGCTGCTGCACAGAATAATAAAGATTCCAGCCAGAATGTCTTGCAACTGTTTAATGGATATGCTTACAGTGGTGTGGAAACTTTGGGGAAGGAGCTCTTTATGTACTTTGGGCCAAAAGCTTTACGGTAAGATAAACTTGTTCAATACATCTTATCTCTCTATGTTTAAGGAGGTGTGGAAGGCTTTTCTTACAGTTTGCTGGGTGCCACAGTTAATCACTTGGAACGATTCTATGGTGGAAAGCAGTAAGCGACAGAAGAATAAATTGTGATGTCATCATTACTTAGAGTACTGGTCAATTTATTACCTGTAAACAACAGTGATTGGCTAGTGGGGCTTCCCAACGGCAACTAATCTCTGCTTTGCTATTCTTCAAGCTCCCTGCTCTCCTATTCTCTTCTCTTGTTTCCATCAAATGTTTATTGCATCCAGCGACATCACTATTTTATTTTTGTGACAGCTCCTCATTTGACTTAAATGTATCAGTAGAGTTTTCTATTTCTCTCTCCTCTTCTTTTCTCTGGAATATGAATGGAATCTGAAAACTTTTTTATAAGAAAATTCAAAAACTTTCCATGGAAAAACATGTCTTCCATTGTTCCGCAGTCCTCGTGGAAATTCCTGGGAGGGCAAGTCTACTACTTAAGGTTAAACCGGATGTTAAAACTTACGTAATTTCCAGGGCTTGGTGAACCATCTGTTTATTTTTTTTCCAGGAAAATGGATTAGTGTATTTATCAGATCTCAGACTGACTTTTCTGAGTTTAGCCTATGCTAGGGCAGACTTTAAAGGTTAGTACTGTTTGTCAGGATCTTTTTTTTCCTTCAGTGTTTCCTTAGGATACTGAACACTTATCACTCACCTGAAACTAAGTCTTATTACTTCACCCTCTTCTTCTAACTGAAGGTGAATAGCCACAAAGAGCTAAAATGACAACATGATTGTTATTTATTGCATTTCATCCACCACGTAGTTGGGATACTTCAGGCTTTGTGTAATTGCTTTTCCTTTGAGGTGCTCGCTCCTCCTGTCAGCAGTGGCTGTCCTTGGACAACATTGTCACTTCATGGTTTTCCCGACTCTGGAATTGATGGCATCAGCATATGCCTACTGGTTCGTGCAGTAATGATGAATGGCAGGTTACATTATGACTATAGTCTGTTGATGTGACTGAAAACTCTTAGCGGTGAACAGAGTAGTACACAGTGTTGTCTAATATAAGACCATTGGAATCATTGACATGTTATTGATCCTCTGGCATTGGGTGCAGATTTATTTCTGTAGGATGAGAGGGTGGTGTGTATTAAGTGCTCTTCACCAGGCTAATAAGGAGGAATCATTTCTCAGTGCAAGGCTGTCAGTAAGTGTTCCATGAAGATTTAAACAAGGACAATCATATTCTTCAAACTAAGCTAACGAGGGCCATCGCTGGAGAGCAGATCTCGCTGTGCATGGGTGGGGGAGGGGGGTGTTGGAGTAGGGGGGGTGGAGTGTTGAGTAGTGGCATGCTCCCTTTTGTAACTCTGTCAGGTCTGTGAATCTGATCTAAACCATATAAAATCAACTGTGTCCCCTTTCACAATTTAACATACTGGTAACTTTTGAAAGTGCTCGAGCAATCTCTGCTTCTTAGGATAATGGATGGCTCTGTCAACGAAATGAGATCCAGCGTGAGCCTGCAGGGCAGGAAGCATGGGATAGAAATGTGGAGCATTCAGTTTTGACCTGTTTTCTATCCAACAGCCTGGTCTGTATTTTAGAGAACAAATATCAGGAAATACGCTTAATGATAGTGTATAGTTTCCCCTAAATGCCCAGAAATCCACAGGATTTTAATTATAAAGCATGTGCATCTCACAGGACAAGCAGTGAATCTTGCTGGGATTCATCTGATTCTGAAAGTGAAATGCAGATGCATCCTTCTGAGAGAATTTGCCATGGAGAACCCACATTTCAGAAAAGTCTGAATCAGACAGGGCCTATTTCCATTCTGAAAGGATTTAGACAAGAACTCAGACAGTGCTGTACCCACCACTACCACAGGGTCGATTCTGACTCAGAGCAAGCGGATGGGTTTTCAAGATTGCAAGTCTTCCCTGAAGCAGAAGCCTCATCTTTTTCCCTCACAGCGGCTGGTGGGTTCGAACTACAAACCTTGCAGTTAACCATCCATAACTTATTCCATCACACCATTAGGACTCCTTGTTAGTACACTAAAAATTATTTGATATACATTTACTTAGAAATACAGCTTTTGGTGTTCTATGTGTTTGATGACATTCATAAAACAAAACAAAAACGCTGAAAATGCTTTTTCTTTTTTTTTTTTAAGATGAAAAGCTACAAATATCTCCATAGCACTGAGCTATTTCCAATCTGTAATTTATATGACTCTGATTGTTGGTAATTTTTGTAACATGGGGATCAGATATAGTTTGGTGGCTTTACCTTTTGAGATGCATGATCAAATTTTTAATTTATTGGAATTAATTTCATTTAAGTAATACGAAATGTTAAACAAATGTAATGTAGAAATTATTTTTTAGTTTGTGAAATCATTTTAATGGAATCCATCATTGTTATTTTAAAAGAATTTTACGGCCTAAAGTGTTTGAATGACCAGATAGAAGAAACTGAAATGTGGTCATGACTTTAAATGATGTGGTTGTTAGTGCCCTCAAGTAGATTTGCCCCTAGTCCCCACACAGGACCCGCGGCAGAACTGGCCAGTGGGTTTCCCCGGCTGCCACCTTCGTGGATCAGCTCACTCTCTTTCTCCTGTGGAGCCATGGGAGGTGGGTGCAAACCGCCAACTTCTCTGTTGACAGCTGATGACTAGCGGTTCCCCACCAGGAATCCTTAAATTAGTTATGATAGAAGAGTCAATAGCTTTTTTTGTCTACTTGTCTTTTAGTGGCAGCATTCTTTCTGGAGATGGTTCTTCCAGCCTCAACAAGGACTTGACGTAATCTTTACATACTTTATCTCTCAGACATAGTTGATTTTGCCTCCTGACTCCTTCCTGCAAACTTCCTCATCCGGAGCTGAAGAGGCTCGGGCACTTTCTGCTGGGGGGAAGCTGGGGACATGAGGCCGGAGAACTTGTAGCTATGTCACTTGTCCTGCCAAGGCAGTATGCGGTGATAAAAACAAAACAACCTACCATTGTTCTGCAGACTTTTTGAGGTCCCCTAAGGCCCTTCACCAACGTTATAATAAAATCCATCGATTCTTATTGAATCTTCCTTGTTCACTGTTCAAGTTTCCTATGCTTGTAAGGTGATTACAGACACCATTCTTTGGGGCAGGTGCATCTTACTCCTCAAAGTGACATCTCTGATTTTTCACACTTCAAAGAGCACTTTTACAGCAGATGTACTAATGCAATACAAGTTTCCCCCACGATCCCCACATAAAACATTCCTCTGAAGACTTTCATGAGCTTAAATGGTATAAAATGAAAAGGCAATTACTGTCCATTTATTTAGGGAAAAATACTGTGTATTCCTAGACCCTCAATCACTTAGGAAGCTTCTCTTTCATTTCAACCTTTTTTCTCTGTATTTTTTTTCATTTTAGTTTGGATACTTTCTGCTCACCTATATTCAAGTTTAAATTCATTTTTTGTTATGGATATTCTGTTGATATGCTCATTGAAGAAATTCTTTATCTCGGATGTCATGTTCTGTATTTCTGTCCTGAAATTTTCCATCAGTTCATATACCTTTCTACTAGAGCCTTTCATATATTATGCATTAATATATCAAAAATTAATATAAATGATATTGTATTACTGATAATTATATTAATTTGATTTTTAAATGGTATATTTTTGCTTAGTTTTTTAAAAGAGTTTTACTGGCATATATTTCTCATATCATACAATTCAGTAATTTAGTCATATTGAAGAGAGCTCTACAATCATCTCCACAATTTTTAGAGTATTTCTTCCTTGAACTCACTGTCATCAGCTCCTTACCTCCCTCCAGCCTCCCCCACCATATACCCTGTAAGAAACTATGCATTCAGTCACTACCTCTATATTTGCATCCTTGGTCTACAGTCAGTGGAGATTCCCTGGAGATTTCATCAATGTGTGAACCCTGTGAATTGACTTTGGCCTCCCACTGTATGCTATAGTTTTCTGCAAACTGGGTGTTCATAGTTTAAGCTCTGATACCATTCCCTCTTTTGGGCTTAGATTTTATCATTTACATTCCTTGGATCACCAAGGCTGGTGTACTTCTCCCATGTGGGCCCAGTTGACACTTCACTGAAATGGCTGCTTGTTCGAAGAAAAACCTTGAAGGTCACAGACACTATTTTTTCCTCATAGCCAGGCATCATCTAGTTTCTTTGCCATACCTTGCTGTAGCACCCATATCTTCAGTGATCTCTTCATTAAGGTGAGTACACAGTAGGGTCAGTCATAAGAACAAATTGTTCTCAGATTGGGGCTAGTATTGTGTGAGCCCAAATACCCATTCATATGGTTTATATATGTCCCTGATTTATTTTAGAGACATCATTATCATTTCATAGTAAAGATCATTATCAATCATCCTCCATCCTCCTTAGGTATAAGGTAATTCTATTATTAGTGTTCATTAATTTATCCAGTGGTCTATATACAACTCTAGGATGGCTATGAACTGCAATACATGAATTGTTGGCTTGTACAGATCAAACTCTTAAGTGTTTGGACACTGCTTATACAAACATAACGGGTTGGTGATAGTGCAAAACTTTCAATAATATTCATTCACAATGGCGGAACCATACCTACCAGATTAATATATGTTGTAATAAAGCAACAAGAGCATTAAAATAGAAAGTATAGAAAGTCCCTGGCCACTACTCATTGGTCATCCTCAAGGCAAGAGGTACCATACAAAGACTTCCAGGTAGTATAATTAGCATGTGAATTTACACACCAACCACCAAAGCTCTCAAGAAAAAAAGCGGATAAAGAACCTCACTGTCATTAAGTTGATTTTGCCTCCTAGTGACCCAATGGACAGAGTAGCCCTGCCTCCTGTGGATTTCCAAGACTAACTCTTTACAGGAGTGGACAGCCTTGTCTTTCTTCCTCAGTGACTGAAGGTCTCAAACTGCTGGCTTTCC